AGAATGTATCCCACAGATGGCAGCTGCCTGTCATGTCTTAGAGCGGGCTCTCCTTGCCTGCAATATGCTGTGGGTGACAGAGCAAACCCCGTGTGTGCATCGCCCTTCATGAGAAGCCACCAGCTCCACCTGGGGGACACTGGCCAGAAAGCCCAGTGCTCTCGCCACTGTGATAGAATTTGAACGTTGCAGAACCAGTGCAGGGCTGATCAGTGGCAACGGCGAGTGACCTAGGAAGCTCCTCAGGTGGACTGGAGCACGCTGGTCTATGTACTCCCCTGAGAACTGTGTTCTCTACCGTTCATTCTGGAAGCAGTACCCTCAGGAGCTACCAACCTAGCAGGATCCATCCTGCTCCCTGACGCGTCCTGACCCTTCCGGTACCTGGGCATGTGGATGTGAACCCAGTGTCCAGAGGGAAAGAGGGATTGTCTGCGCTGTTACCGGAAATGCTATTGTTGCTGTGTCATAGCTTTTCTGTCTTTGGAGAGTCGCTTGACAGCCCTGTTAGTACTCTGGTCACTTCTGTGTGGTGTTCTGGGGGGGCAGGAATGAGGGGTGCATCATGCTCTCCTAATTGCATTCACTGGCCCTGGGGTAACTGCAGCTTTAGTACTTTCCCTGCAAGCTAAATCCATGCTGCTCCTATTCCTGTGGCCCCAAGCAGGCAGAGCCGTGCTGCAGGGTCTGCTGTAGGCTTCACACTCTGCACTGTTTCCGTCCAGAGCTCCATGCTTTAGGGACACGTGTTGCTCCAGGTCATCGTGGTACTCACACCTGCCTGGTTAGGAGGTAGCACATTGCAGACAGATAAGGCATGTGCCAAGCTGAGCCGGCTGGGAGATGCACAGCGGATTTCTTTGTTTCTCCTTCGGAAGAGCTGAAGTTGGGAGAAGGTGACTTTCTGCCTCTGCAGCCCAGTGGGCTCCAGACCCGGCCCTCGATCCTGATGGGTGGCTCCAACCTCTCCCACTGTCGGTCTCATCCTGTTCCTGGAGGTCACACCAGGGGAGACTGTTCATACCACAGTCAAGCTTCGTCCGCCCACCTACGAGGAACGCACCGCATCTTGTCCTGGCATGAATCTCACACCTGCTTCCTGGTCCCTGACTTCCAGGATCAGGGAGAAGCATGTGGTCCGCCATCCTCTGAGACCCACACATGCTTCTCATAGTGTAAAATGGTCATTCTAGGCCTTCTGCTGGAGTGCTACGGATGTAAGGAGGAAACAGGAGATGAAATAGGACCTCCATCTGATATAAGGGAAATATTATAATTTCCAACCTGTTAGATGTCTGACATGCTGAGTTTGTGTTCTCTAAAATTGAAGATCGAATTCTAAGAACAATGAAAGTTAAGAGTAGGAAATGTTTATTGAGAGGACAGCTCCTGAGAGGCAGGAGGGGTCTGAAATGGGCAGCCAAGGACCCCACTTTCAGGGGATTTTTATAGAGCATAAATCATGTGAGTAAAACATGGGTTGCAGCTATGATCAACCAATAAGGTTATAAGTATAGTTGCTTAGGTAATAGTGGTCCAATTGGGAAACAAGTTATGTTACAAATGTTCATGGAGAGAACAAAGACTTTTTTCTAAGAATTGATGGGTCTACAATTCATAAATGGGCATCTGAAATGAACAGACATTTCTCAGACAAGTAAGAGCAGCAAGTAAATATATGAAAAAATGTTCCACATCACTGGTCATTCAGGAGATGCAGATGAAAACAACACTAAGATTCCACCTCACCCCACAAAGAATGGCTGCTATCAAGAAATCATACAATAACAAATGTTGGCGGGATTGTGGGGAGAAAGAAACCCTTCTCCATTATTGGTGGGAGTGCAGACTGGTGCAACCACTATGGAAATCAATATGGAGATACCTCAAAGAGCTGGGACTGAAGGTTCCATTTGACCCAGCCATCCCTCTGCTGGGTATCTTTCTAAAAGAATTAAAAGAATCATAAAAGAATTAAGAATCATACCACAGTGATATATGCACACTAATGTTTATAGCGGCACAGTTTATAATAGCGAAAACTTGGAAACAGCCCATTTGCTCATCAGTTGGAAACTGGATAAAGAAGATGTGGTTTTTCTATAAAATGGAATACTACTCAGCCATAAATAATGATAAATTAGATTCATTCATAGGAAAATGGATACATATTGAGGATATACTCCTAAGAGAAATATATAAGTCACACATGTGTAAATACTGAATAGTTTCTCTGGTGTGAAAAACTATAATAGTACATAAGAGTCTAATAATATAATTGACCATATGAAATAGGAAGAAAAGTGCTAAAGGTGTAGGGAAAATGGGAAGGGTAGGGGAAAGGTAATAAGGGAAAAGAAAAAAATATGACAAAATGGAAATAAAGTGTTTGCAAGTGGGGAGGGGAGGAGGGGGTGAAGGGAGGGCACAGACAAGGGAAAAAAAATGAGAACCAAATCCTGTCATGTAAAGGTACATGATCCCAATAATGAACATAATTGTACTGTATACCTTAAATGTACCAATAAACTCGATAAAAGGAAAAAAAAAAAGAAAGAAACAATGGGTCTAAAGGTCTTGGTCACCCACTGGGGTGATGATGTCTGTCTAGACTTCATTGGGCCAGGTGTTACCACTTATCTTGTCCTTTGGGAAGTATGTGGCCTGGTCATTTTCTCTTTATCTTGAGCCCTGGTCTCTAACAGATGCATCTTCAGCCATGGTTGTAATGTGTTTGACCTTTGTCCTGACTCTCTTGAGGGCCTAATCCTATCTGACTTCCTACAATATTTCTATCTAACTTAGCTGTCTTCCTACAATATTATTTATGTGTATGGCCAACTTACGTGGTGTTTTCTAAGCGTGAGTTCTTTTTGTACATGGGATCCTGGGATCTGGAACTGAAAGACTTAATGGGAACAAGGTTTGCGGGAGGCTGAGCTAGGCCTGAGGCAGGAGGGGCTTCCAGGCCGGGCTGTAAGGGGCTGACACAGCTCCTGGGGTGGGGGCGGCTGTCTGTGGGACAGCCATTCAGGGCAGGCAAGAGCAGGGAGAGGCTGTTGTTCTGTTGTTGCTAAATACCCTCTGCATGAAAGCTGAGCAGAAGCCCTTGGGGCGGAGGGCAGACCCCAGGTTCCCTGCCTCTGAGGAGAAGGATCAGTCCTCAGGCAGAAGCGTACCCCACCCCTGAGCTGAACCCGGTACCTGTGGGCTGTGGCCTTCGGGGCTGTGTCTCCCCTCTTTGCACACAAGCTGACTGCAGTGGGGGAAGGATTCAGAGAGCTGCCTTGGTGGGAAGAAACTGGACCCTGGCCAGAAAAGAGCCATGAGAGCCTTTGCCAATGTGAACACATTTCAGGGGAGAGGAATGCTGGGGAAGGGTTGGACACTCAGGCTTTGCATTGTCTCCTGGATAAAGAAGTGTCCCGTGAAAGGTACACTGTGACCCTCGGTGACTCCAACCCCGGAGTCCATCAGAGCAGAGGTAGACTTTGTAGCTGTCATCCAAAGGGAGACTCCACGACCAAACTAGGGGGAAAAAAAAACCTGCAAGAAATCACCATTGATTAAAGAAAACAGTGTCATGTTCAGTAGGAATGTCTTGCTACCCAGGTTGCATGACAAGGTTCTAAGGAGTGAAGCTATGTGGATCTTTCCTTCCGGAAGGGGACACTATGGTGACCACAGTGTTCTCGGCCTCTTAGATGTCCAAGCAGGGCAGTGCATCTCCTTCCAACTAGAAAAGACACTTGTAAAAAGTCATCTTTCTGGGGATAATCCCAGAAGGATCCAGTTCAGGATTAAATATTACAGGGAAAGCCTGAGCTTTGATGTCACTTAAAAACGAGCTTAGAACTGTGCCACTTGGTTTCTTAGAGCAAGGAGCCGAGTGACATGTGAGTTCTGAACTATTACCCACTGTTCCTCTGTTTGTCTCACACAAGAAAAAAGGGCCAGAGAAACATCCCAGCCGGTGCTCTCCCCACCTGGCAACCCTGAGGAGGCCTCCTGTCCCCCGCATCCACTTGGTGGGGGTGGAGAATCCATAGCTCCCGGGCCTCAGTGCAGCCTATCCTGTGGGAACTCAGAGCTGCACAAGGGCGAACCGCTTATCAATATAACAGAAACAGAAGATAGCTGGGGTGTCCAGCAGTGGAGACCATGGCTGTGTGTCCAGGGGCCGGAATACTCTGTAGCCAGAACACTGGTGTCGGCAGCCTGTGGCGGGGGAATGTGCTTGTCCTGTGGGGCACAGATCAAGGTGGCTGAACCCTGTCTCAGAAACCGCAAGGCTTTGTATGTGCATTGAGAATACCGGAGTGGCAGTTATTGTCTCTATTTGTAAGGAATATTTTTAAACTTCCTATGACCTTTTAAATTCAGGCAATAAATGTACATCATTAGAAGGAAGGAGGTCACAGAGGAAGAGAGGTCTGGAGCGGGGACACGTGGCTGTCTCTGCAGCCAGAAGACCTTGGCCTCACAGACTCCGCCTTCTTCCTCCGCCGCCCCCAGGGCACGGACACCCGGTCCTTTCTACCTCGGTGGGGCCAGGACACAATCAGGGCTCAATCAATAATTGATGACAACAAAGACCCCACCGGGCATCCATTCCCTCACTCAGCGGGCTCCTCTTAAATGCACTTTATTTGATTTTAATTTTTTCATCCTAAATGATGGAAATCAAAGCCTTGAGAGATCTGTCCCCTGCTGAGAGCCAGAGAAGAGGAAACAAATGGAGGAGGAGGCCCCGCAGGGCACCCTTGGAACCTGGGCCTGGGCACCTGCAGGGAAAGCATTTCCACAACCCAGCTCCGCAAGCTGAGGTCAGAGGAGCGGTCTCCACTCCCGTGTCCTTCCCAGGCCGGGGTTTGCCAGCCGGGCCGCACCAGGCTCTGCCCTGGGAGCCAGGATAGGTGGGACCTGTCACCCCGCTCTCTCGCAGGTGCTCTCCGTCCAGAGGACAGCTATAGGCATTAGACTGCTGGAGGTGATGGTGGGAGGTGGCTGCTACAGAGGACAGTAAGGGTGAAGGGCAGGACATCAGGGGTCAGGAAGGGCCACCCGCAGGGTGAGGCAGCCTGAGAAGAGTGTCCAAGGACAGCCGTGCAAAGGCCCTGGGGCAAATCTTGGTGGTCCTTGGGGAGGAAGGGAAAGGCCAGTGTGGCTGCAGCACTGTGAGTGAGGGGCTGGACCCCAGCTCCTGTGTTCCCAGAGGAGCAGGGAGGAGCTGGGTGGAAACGCAGGGCGGCTGGGCTGAGCACCTCAGGCACGCCCCCCAGGAAGCGAGCTGGGGACTGGTTCTGGTGGCTCGGAAAAGTTCCAGGAGGCTCCTTAGTGGGAGGTGACCTGCAGGTGCTGGGGACTCAGGGCCAGGAGCAGGCTCAGTGGAGGGCGGGCACAAGCGCCAGCACCCAGTCTTGGGGTTGTCTGTGGTGGATCCTCCTCCTCCCTGGCCTCAGGGGCGGAGCTGGGGTGGGGTCCCCAGGAGGGACTGTGAGGAGCAGAGCAAGGAGGCCTGGGCTGGAGTCTGGGGAGAGGAGGAGGGCGGAGGGCATGGAGAGGGAAGACGGGTGCGTGTGCCCGGAAAGCTACCCAGGAGCGGCAGGGCAGAGGGGCCGCTCCTCAGGGCTTCCATGCACAGAGACCACAGCGTGGGCCCTCACCGGGAGGAGGGCGCGGCCGTCCTCCTCCGTCAGCAGCACCTGGGGACCCGGCACCCAGCAGAAGCATCGAGCGGTCAGTGTGACTTCACAGCAGCAGCGAGCGTGGCCCCCAGCGCTGGCTCTGGGCTTGGAGCCAGGACCCAGGCGCAGCCAAGAGCGATGCTGGATTGAAGCGGGGTCCCCGGCACAGACGCGCTATTTCTCCTCCTCTTTCCTCTGGGGCCGCCATTGTCCCCGGTCTTGTCTCAGCGGCCTCCCCTTGCGAGCCAGGCCCAGGTCAGGTGTTTCGTGTGTGGGACAGGGCCGCGTGGGGCCGTGAGCCCCTCCTGTCTCTGCCCCCGGGGCCTCCTGCCTCCCTAGTGCGAGGACATGGCAGGTGTGGGGACCCGTGGGGCAGCTCCTTCCGCAGGGCAGAGGCCGGGCTGCTTGAGGGTGTCCTCGCCGCTGTGGGTGAAGATCCCGAGCACCAGAGCAGCCAGGTCGCAGGGTGCAGCTGCAGGGGTGGCGGTGAGTCCCAGGCCTGGCCTCCGTGGGCGGCTGACCGTGGACCAGCGGTGCCAGCTGTTTTCCCTGTGCAGTCAGGCCTGGCCCCGGCCCTCAGCCTGGCTGCCGCTGAGACTCCGGGAAGGTTTAACAGCTCCCGATGCCCAGGCTGCACCCAGGTCTATCAAACCCAAGCCCCTGGGTCAGCGCCCAGGCATCGCTGTCTTCCGTGTCCCTCAGGAGACCCAAAGTGCCGCCAAGATGGAGCACAGCGATTCCTGCTGCAGAGAATTTCAGGACCACAGGTGTGAAAAACAGGCCGCGAAGAGGAGCAGAGAAGGCAGAGCGGCCGACTCTGTCCCCTCGGGGCTCCCCAGTGGAGGGGGCACATCTGATTGGCGGGAAACTGCGACTCTGGGCTTGGTCCCTGGCAGGTTCCTATGCTAATAGGGAGGAGAGTGGGGTGCTGTGGGGACATGGAAGAGGGCATCCGCGGAGAGTGGCTCATCCCCCTGTACCTCAGAGTGGTCTGCGGGCTGGTGTTGTCAGCATGGAGCGTCTGTCAGAAATGGGGAGCTCAGGTTCTACCTCAGCTCTCAGCTGTCACGGGACCCTGGCTGGTCCATGTGCAACCATGGTCTGAGGAGCACGGGTTCCGCTGGTGGAGGCACTGATCCACCCACCTCCAAGGAGGCCAGAAAAGGCCACTCCACGCTGACGTACTCAGTGGCTCGAGGTTGTCAGGGCTCTATCTCTGCACCCCTGAGATCCTCCGGCCGTTGCCTCAGGGTTTCACAATGGCTGCTGTGGCTCCAGCCTCACCAGACTGTGTTTAAAAGAGAGGAAGTGGAGAGCTGGAGGTTGGTCTCACGTGTGTCTTGGAAAGTCTTTCCCAGAGGCCAGGGGCAGCTGTCCCTGGGTTTCCCCTGGTGGACTGGACGACCCGCCCATTCTTGAACAGTCACAAGCCAAGGGACAGGATGACTGCGGCTGGCCCTCGAGCCCCTGACCTGTCATCTTTGTCCCCTGGGCCGGGGCAGGGTCACGTTTGCTCAGCCCCCGTTTTCTATGAGAAAGAACAAAAGCAGGATTATGTTCCCAAGGAAGAAAGGAGAACAGCTGCTCCTGTGTCCCATGGACCCGAATGCGCTGTGTGCTCTCTCTCGCTGTCTCACTGCCAGGAGGGAGAAGCTCGCTGTGTCCCCATGCGGCCGGCCATCTGTCCTCGGGGGTGGGGGACCCACCAGCCTCCCCAGTGAGGCCCCAAGCACGGGCACCATGGCGGAAGGGGAGGACCCAAGCCCTGGCCTGGTGCCCAGGGTAGAAGGCGTCAGCTGAAAAGCGCTGGGCTCCCTGAGCAGCTCCTGGTCCCCGTGTTGCCACCCAGGTGAGTTTACTCCAGCCTCAGGGCCCCTGTGTCCCTGTGGTTCAGGTCACCCAGGAGGTCGGCGGGTGGGGGCTGGGAGGAGCTGTTCGTGGCTGCAGTGCTGGGTGTCACACGACAGGCAGGCGGCGACCTCAC